TACCAGTTGAGAACGCAGCCGCCGGGTCCTGTTGAAATAAGAATGCAGTGTCATCGTCCAAGGAGGGGATGGGGTTCGTGAAATCAACCCCCTGAAAGAGAACATCCTCGGCCCCTGAAAAATCAACGGGCTGGGAATTAACTGGTTGCGTAGTCTCATTACGCTGCGACCGATTGTGGTTCGTTTCCTTTAGAAGCACTTCAACTTGAGCTATGCGTACATGTTAGTCTAAGTCTCGCGTATATAAGGGATATCATGACATAGTTACCCAGGCGAGCCTCAAGTTCTTTTACATTCCTCCGCTTGAAGGCCGGTTTTCTTCGGGCTTCAGGGAAGATGCATTCAAGCTTGGCTTTCTCACAGCGATTACAGCGAGGTTTTGTGCGATCACATTTGAGTTTTCGGTTTCTACATGATAATGATATGAGTTACAGGGCTGAAATATGGCGACCGTCAACCAACAGTACCTGCATGATACGCATGACTAGCTGATAGTATTAGCATAGGCTAGGTAGGTATCTAACACCTTCGAACAGGGGGTAAGAGAATGATAATCACCAAAATCTCTCCGGGCTGAGCCGGTTCAGCGGAGGGTTCATCCCCGGCCATCATATCGATGCGATTAGCTCATTTAAAATAAAAATCCAACACTACCTAGTCTTTCAGATTTAATTCTTGTGTATATACCTAGATACGTTGTCGCTACTAAACGTGATAAATAAGGTTGAACGACCAGGCATCCGAATAAGCGTCCGAATAGGCATCCACCTATAAAAAAAAAAGGGGGGGCCAAGGTAACAAAGCATCCGTGCTCTTTTGTCAGACCCGAAAGACGGTCCGCATGTCAAAATTTCTCCGAAACCCGATAAGCTTCAACCCCGATAGCTCCGTGCCCTCACGCTGCGCAGGAACGGGATTAAACAACCTCACTTAAGCTTACATAAGACTTATCTTCCGTAATATTTAGGTATCTTATGTTTCTTCATTCTTAGCTAAATCTACTGTTTACTGGACTTTATAGTGGGGACTATTACCTATCGCCAAATTCGTTCTCTTACTTGATATTCGCCTATGCGTATATGAAAATAACCACATATGAAGACGCTACCGGCGAGACGGAGGCAAGGATACTGTATATTATCAGGACTCCTTTTTTCCTTACGTTGTTTTTTCTGCTTTTTACCTTCTCTCCTAATATGATTAGTTTGAGGTCTGGCTAGCAGGTTGACTTACTCAGCTTGACCGCTACCATTTTCTCACGTCGTGTTCTATCCTATAGTATACTCAGAAACATCTTATTAAAGGAGCGAGCGTTCCTAGCACATAGACACTTGCTTGCATGCGTACGATTCCTGAAACACAATTCAGCAAGCATAGTAATACTCGTAAGCGACCTGTCACATAGCTACGTGTCCATGTATCCATGGATCATGGCACGATATCCACACATTCTATATTGTACGTACCCGGCACAAACGTAGAGCCCACGTCGCCACAGAGGACGCATGTTCGCGTACGTATCCTGTAAGTTAATACGCAAGTACGCCTATCTGTTACTCAGTCTTGCAATACTATGATGTAATAAGGGGACGCTGTGGAGTACTCGGCGTTAAAGGTAAATATACCGTACTACTAGCTGGGACGCTTAAGCAACTCAGGGATTTGTGTATTATTATAGTCCCTGTGGATCCAGGAAGCGCCTAAACTGTCAAGTGCGCACGACAGCTGAAGCTGATTTGGCATACATGCATGCAGATAGCCCGTACAGTGCTAAAGCATGCCGGCTAATACAGACTATAAGTTCCTAGTTGTCGGTGGACGACGGTTCCGCTGCTAGTAACAATGGATATAGCTCTATTGACGGAGTGACAAGTGCAGATCCTTTTAGATCAAGGTCGGCATTCGTTGGGAACTTTAGTAAACAAGAAGAGGAGCCGGTGTCTAGGCCAACCAAATTATGCTAGCAGTGAGGCGGCCCCTCGCCTTAGCTTATGATAGGCACTTGGCTCCATCACCATCGTAGGTACATCCTCAAGTCTAAAATGGCTCCGGAGGCCCAGGCGCGCGGTAAGAGCCCTGAAGGCCTCGGCGTAGAAGCGCAAGCATAGGATAAAGACTAGGACACATTAGACTTTCTATGGGCAACCTATTATTCATTCCGGGGTGCGTTCCGTCCTATATGGCCGGATGTCTCCGAGTCATGACTCTGAATTTTTAATGGAACTCATACCGTACTTGGCGGCCCGTTTGCTGACGGGACGACCTATATCCCAAACACTCGGGTCATCCGTGAACCTACAAAAAAAAAAGATACGCTAGCACCGTTGAAATTTGAGAAAGTCTAAGTGGAGACAAGGATAGAATCCGAGGTAGAGACGAAAGTCAAATGGATATTTGGTGGTTGAGCTGGTAACGTCGGTCGACAACTCTCTTGTGACCGGGTAATTTAGTCCATACTTTAACAAAAGTAAGCTTATCAGAGTGCTTCCATACTAATTCATATAGTACGGTGCCAAGGAGACGAAATAAAACTCGGTAGATATACCACACCATCTTCCGAAATACATGATCGGTGAGGGCTATGAGCTACGTACTTGACTCTTGGGTTATAGGATATAGGACACGGCATGCCTAAATATAATAAACGTGATGGTGCAGCAAGGTGTGTGGGGATATAGAAAGAAGAAAAGTACATCCTTAATGATTTACCTAGGCTAGGATTCTAGCAACCCCCACGTATGCTTGCTGTATGTCTGGAGGCTAATATATTACAGATGTGGCATAATAACAGGAACTAAAGAGGACAAAACAGCCTAAGAGACAGATGTATTCATGTAAGCCTTGCCGTAATGTACGTATGAAAAGCACGCCATATTACAGCGACCTTTTGTTGCTAGTGAGCGATAGAATTGGATGTCATTGAGTTTATGAAGCATGGCAGCCCATGAGCTGACAAGCATGCTTGATAAGACTTTAGTAGGTTGAACCCCTAGAAACACGACAAACTCTCCTGCTAGTCGGTACATTTAGGTAATCTGGCGAAGGCTACATATGTAGGTTTCTTACCCGTCTCATGTTATGTAGGGTACAATATAGAACAGTTCAAGCCAGCAATTCAAGCGCCTGGTCACCCTGCTCGTCCGGAAAGCGATGTGGGCAAATTTGTCAAAAATGATTTACTAGGTAGCCAGGTATCGGACCTCTTGTTGAAACCTTACCTACCTCGTTACTGCGAATACAAGCAGCAGCTGAGTAGCGAGGGGATCCAATGGCCTATCTAATATAAGGCACCTGCATTGTACACGGTTGAGAAAAGAGTACTCGATATTGTAACTGGGACTAGGTGGATGCCGTCAGGGGTACGGCAACAAGACATTATAACCGTTACATATAACCGTCTTTTCTCCAGCGCGGCTCAAGTGAGATGTTTCAGATGTCATCATCAATATCTAAGACCCATCGGAAAGGTTCGAGACATTATTAAAAGAGGGGATTCCTTGCCCCCTCCCAAAAGGTGAAGAGACATTGACTTTGTTTTTTGTCCGAAGAGAGCGCCATTATGTCTCAATTCAAGCGGACCGGCCGGAGATCCGTGCTACGGCTACTTCTATATTCGGTAGGCGAGTTGGGGAACAAAGAGTTCGTGTAAAAGAAGAAAAAAGAAGAAAAAAATACTTCATCCGAGCCATGGGCGATATGTGTCAGATACGTCGTAGCGTAACTTTCCATGTCAACTGTGTATGTCTAGGTGTCTAGGTGTCTAGGTGTCTAGGTACTGTTTACCTACGTAGGTAGGTAGTTAATGGACGAAGGCGAGGAGGGGTGACACTATCCCAGACTAAGACACTTGAGATGTCATACTAACGTACACTAGTTTTGCCCACCCATGATAATTTGATAATTTACTGGATAGGTGCCATAGGTGCCACTACGTAGACGGCAACCTCCGTATCTAATGACTGAGCAATGAGAATCGAGACGGGGCTCACGGCAATATTGGAAACGGATCTGGATTATGGCCAGAAGCTCTACGATGGGGTGGATCCATGTCTAGGTAAGTAGTATGAAGAATGCATCTGTCACATTCGTCTAGAATATATTAGATCCCGTCACTCTATCTCGCCAAACGGGTATTTGCTCTGTCTCCAGCTCAGAGCCCAGGGCCGGGCAATCCTCTGGCTACCAACCCAGTGGTACTTTGGCCACTGCATAACATGACTTGGACCGGCAAGACGAACAGGTAGGTACCTAGATAGCACGACGTCTGCTTATAGCAGAAGAGGTGAGCCCATTTTTCGGGTTCACAGTCTTTTTTGGTCTGAGCAAAGGACCGAACGTACGTCAGCTGTTCTGCAACGTCTGTCGTCATCCGAATCCATTATGGAAATATGCCTGCTGCTAAGTGATATTCTGGGTTAACCGATGAAACTGTGCGATGCGGCGAGATTAGGTGGCCGTCACGATGAGCTTGGTAGCCAACGGATTTTGAGAAAAGCATCCTCCCACGCCCACGCCCACGGGCATCTGCATTTAATCTATCGATCGGAAGGGCGGTATGCAAGAACAATATATTTTCTTTTCTGAAAGGCCAATGCGGGAGCTCTTGCATCTATCTTGGTTACGAAAGTAGATCTCCTATAACACTCGGAACGGGCCCCGGCTTATGGCTGGATCCATGGCTTTTTCACCTTGCTTCTTGGTTCGGAAACGATCCGTAAAACTACCTAACCTAACCTAACCTAAGATGCATACTTTTGGCCCGTTAAACGATATTAAGGAATTTGATGTATTTCTATCATCCGGATAGTGCACTTTCGACTTGAGGCTAAATCTACACGTACAGCGCCGTGCTTCCACGTATCCTTCGCTTCCATCGTTAGAACTTCCTAATCAATCCACGGTAATATACAGCGTTGCCCCTTTATTTTGTAGCATTAGAACCTTAGAACCGTCGTTTCTCTTAATCTAATGCCCCCCTCCCCCCGAGACGCCTATTATTTTCATCCCCATACCCTAAAGCCATGCCCAAAAAATCGAATCGCCTAGGTACCTAACATGTACAAAACAAATGCTGCTGAAATAAGAAGTTGTCGTGGACCGGCTCGCGGGAGTCAAACGCCCGCGAGATCAAGGCCGGTCCTGGTTAGAGGTTAGAGTGTTGGTAGACTCTTCTGGTGAACTGCTGAACAGGTGAACTATTGCGCGGCGTAAAACCTATACCCCCCCTCGTAAAGATAGTAATAATACAATAAATATAACTCCGCGTAAGGAAGCACGGACACCTCATATACTACCCCGTTTGTTGCCAGTAGTCCTGCGCCTTTTAATCGACTCTAATTCAACGTCACCGGTCGCACCAGGCTCTTCGTCGCTTAGTAGTCTGCCGTCCGTGTCGTAGTCGGCCCTTTCGGTCGAAGGTATTAACCCACTATCCGCGCTGCGCACGGTCATGGCGTCAGCCTCGGCGCGGGCATTGTTAATCATATTAGGTAGTTGCCGTCGTCTCGCGTTGATAAACCAGTTCGATATTTGATCTGTTAAAAATGCTCGGTTAATATCAAGTCTAGTCTGATAGCTCCGATCACCTCCCCACAAGGCGGCAGCAGATCTCGTCGTAATCTCAATAATTGGGATTCAACGTTTCGCTGAATTAACTTACTTAACTGCAAACCGGTCTGTTTCATCAGTTGTTGCTTTTCCTCCTCTGTTGGGTACGGGTGCGATAGGTGGGAGTGAAACCAGGCACGGAGTTTGTCCGTTGTCTCTTTTGGTAGATTTCCACGGCGCTTCCGCTGTTTGCCCTCGTAGTTTCCCCCGGCGCCGAGTTCGCGGACGAGCATGTAGCTATCGTGTGATTGGTGGCCATACGTGGCAGGCGAGAGCACTGGAGAATATAGCGGTGGCCTGTCAAAGAGATGGGCCGACCCCACAGAAAGGGATTGCACTCGGTTGGGATGATGGTAACTGTAGTGGTAACTGGTAGGTCGGTATGAAGCTGGCCTGATCTCTAAACCATAGGTAGTGTTCATGTCTTCTGGAGTCCTCGTTCTTCTCTGAGTTTCTCGCATATAGTCGTCGCTCGGCAGGCCTGGGAACGGTTCAGTTCTATCTCGAGCGAGATTTAACGTGGATAATTTTGATAAAGTCGTCTGATGCTCGGCTTGTTCATGATGTCCCGGCTTTGCGGTATATTGTTGGAGAGCGTCATCGCCAGTTGGATAACCAGCTCGGGCTAACTTGCCCCATGCTCCTATTTCCGTCCTAGAATCAAGGGGTGGTGATACCGAGCGATAAGGGCTCCTGTTAGAATTGGTTAATAGCCTTGGAACCGAGTTCGTTCTCTCAACGTCCCTCCCACTCTCGAAGTGTCTCTTGTGATAGGGTGGCGAATATATATATTCTGGGGGCGTTATTTCTCCATTGAAAGACCCTCTAGCAGGACTAGTTATGGGATATGGTGTCGTAGCCACGACGTTTTGTTTTAATTGCTGTTCAAAGCAGTGGGGAAAAGCCTAGTGGTCGGTCAGAAGCAATCTCTCATCAGACGTGGTAGATTCTACCTGACGAATAGGCGGTAGGGAAACTTTCCCCCCATCCCTAGGAGCGTACGCCCAAGGCGGAGAAAGGCCAGAATTGTAGGGCGAATGGATTGTCATAGTAGACATCTCGTAGATAAACAGCTACATATATACGCCTCGATCTTAGAACCTATTATTATCGTCAGCTTAACAAGAATTGCAGCCAGGCCACAAGACCTTTCTTACATGCTATGCTCCTTGCTTCGTGTAGTGATTTGTCTAACTGGGAAGGCTTAACAATGTTCAAATAGGACACAAAAAGTCAACAATAAATCATAGAATCATTCCACTTGGTAAAGGTAATGGATCGCTTTGGTGGATAGTTGAAGAAAATTTATGTAGAAGACATCTATGAATCTGGTCTAGAAGGCCAGATAAAAGATGAAGAAAACATATCACCAAGTAAGGAGGCGGAAATCTTCTCTATGTATGTTAAAGATGCGAGGTTCTTTGAAGGTGTGGAGAGGTATGGGGGTCTGTATCGATGAACTGACTAACCCATAATAAGCCCAGGATGCGAGGCATGGACAAGGATGGTATACATAGGTAGATGCTAAGACAACGTTCAAGGGTATGAAGAAGACGAAGAAGACCATAGCCGCAGACTAGCCTGTACCCACCTCCCCACAGTTGGTCACTGATACTGTGACTTTCTGCGGGCAGTGAACTGAAGACTGACATGCTAGCCTCTAGGGTGGTACGTTTCCTAGGGCTTACATGGAGGTACGTATGATAGGTATGTAATAGTAGTGTATGTAGGTAAGTAGTATGTAGGGGCACTGGGTCACTGGAAGTGCACATGGCTTAAAGGCCTGGCTACCTAGTCAGACTGCTCACGTAGTAGGTTGACGACAAACTCGGCTCGATAGCGATGGAGTACTAGAATACCAGAATACTAGAGTAGGTACTGGATGTAGGGGAACAAGTGACACAACCACAGTAGGGAAGGGGTCAGCGTTGGAACCTAGCAGTATTGATGTACATGCAGGACAGGGGTCAAACCCCGGACCGTGACGGTTATTGCTTTGGTGCCAGATGAAATTGCCCGATGAAAAGGAAGATGGCTACCGGGGTTTGACTCTAGACACGTACCATTGCATACATGCGATGCATTTGGAAGACCGGATCGAATTATTCCCTCCTTGCAAGCCTTGCAAGATGGATCTAAGTATTTATCAAAAGGGGGATGGTTACCCATGGCTGCCACCCGAATTAGAGAGGTATGTGGAAATCTAACACGTGCCCAACCCTCAAGCATAGCACCACCGAGTATTGACTAGAAGTACTCGAATCGCCGCTGTCACTGTAGATATTAGTTAGCCAAGTAGGAGAGTGCATTGCTCATCTCTAGTGTAGGTACCTAGGTTAGGTAGGTAGTCGGCCAAATAATTGGTTTCCAAGTCGTGTTCAAACGGCGGCTCGGGTTAGAGAAGCAAAGACTAATAAATAATATAGGTAATATATCCCACAAAAAGCATCAAGAGTCATCGTGGTGGTTTTATTAAATATCCGTCTGTATCTTACCGAGCTAGAAGAAGGTTCCTGCAGTTCGCCACAAGGCATCCTTTCAAACTATCCAGACTAACTTATACCTACGGCATGACGCAGAGGCGCACCCGAGAAAATACCGCTGGGTGAAAAGGTTAACTTTCCTCCTTTCCCCCTTACCAGCCTCATTCCCAAACTTGACGAAGACTAAACTGGCCGTTTAAGAAAACCCAATGTTTTATGCATAGGTAATATACGAAACTGGTTCCTGTTGGGACGCCATAATAGCAGATGGGTGTTGTGATAGGTGTTGTGATGCGTAGCGTAGCGTGGCATTCACCTTTTTTTTCTCCCTCTTTTTCTTTAGGCTTATCAACAGCTCCTTACCTCTTAGAAACGACATATTAATACCCCGTTATATGCTTAGATTATTGGCATTGGCACAAGGTAGAATTATATTACTAAATTCATCTTTATGGACCCATTTTTACTGGGAAACCCGCTCTTTACTTTTGCCCATGGGGGCCAAGCGGGACTTCTCAAGTCCTAGCTGATAGGTGAGCCGTGATAAAATCTAGGGGTAATGAATCGTGTACGTATAATGAAATGTTAGTGCAGGTTTGTGCAATACATATTCATGAAATGAATCCACATGACATACATAACACTGTATATTATATTGTGCCTTATCTAATAGGTTCTAGTTAGGCAAAATCCCAAAGCCGGGGGGGGGGGGGCAATCTGATATGTAAATCTGGAAATCTGGAAAATCTGCCAAGGGCTTACCAAGAACTTATGTACCTTGTCCCTTGTCCCTTGTCCCTTGCCCCTTGCCCATTGCCCCCAAAATTAGCATAATCCGGTAAGCCAATAACTTCAAAGCATACTCGAATCCGTATATTACCTGATCATGAAAAAGGGTTCGATCGAAAGCCATGGGACGAAACTTTAAAATAAAAAGGGCCAGAAAGACAACTTAGTTTGTTCTTCTTAACCTTTTGATAATTACCTAGGCGCTTATAAGTAAACACCGGATAAAGTTAAAGGTTGTTGGATACCACAACAACCTCTTTATGTATAATCCCCCCTTTTTTAAGTACCTCTATTCACCTATTCTACCTCGGAGCCATTGGAACTTTTACTTCAGCTATCAAACACAAATGAGGGGGCCTCCAATATTACAAATGATTAGTTCGGTCTGTCTTGTCAGCGTGATGCTCCAATTTCTCACGTATAATGATGATGTATATCGACCGACCTCAGGCTATATTCTCCGACAACGCCGCTGAAATTATCCCTAGTGGCCAGCTTTGTCGTTAAGCGCATCGATATATGAATTTCTCTAGATATTCTGTGATGATCAATTCATAACCAATCAGGCTATGCAACAGGCGAATCGGGATTTTCCAGCAAACCTGAGGCGAGTCATGGACCGAAACCTGAACGACCTGCCGTTTACATATATACCTAGTTAATGTATCTATTTACCTTCACCGAGCGCCAATAGAACCAATGCTACGACGCCGAAGGCCACCTGTATATTATGATAGCTCCCTATTTGTTATTTATATTACGGATAATTCCTAGAACCGTTATCTAACCTTGACGGCGATGGCTTGCACGGAACTACAAATCTTAGGGCGCGTTCCGCTGACTTGGTAGCTGGCTTCTGTCATTAGCTACGGTGAGGTATCGAGTCATAACATTGTGGCGGAAACGGAAACGCACAATGCACAATGCCTACTGTACATAGCGTAGTGAGGTGGATTACCGCTAGGCGGCGGCGACGACGATTCAGGAATGCATAGCGTGTACCTACTGTATTGTACATACATGACGGTATGCGTAACCCTAGTGGCATCCGCCCCGATGGGTACGCGATGATGCCCTCTGCTGTTCTAGCCGGCTGTCAAATCTCGTCGGGTTGGCATGTTTTTGGCAAAATCCCCGTACCCCGTCCATGGACGATCTGCATCGTCCAAAGCTGCAAGACAGATCGGTGCCGAGCCGTGATATGGCCTCCATACCCCTCCGTGTGTTGCGATTGGTTCCCCATGCACTCCTCAATAACTGTCAATCTCGCGCTAAGTTGCTCGCCCTCCTGTAGCACAGTTTGGAGAAGGCAATATTAACCTTACAAGTCGTATTTCGTAGTAAGACTCTATTTCTAAGGGCTATCATATGCTGTGGTATGGATACCGCGATGTTGAGGATCCGAGTCAGTTATCTATCCGCGAGACGTTAATAATGGTGGTAGCAATGGTGCCTTTGGTAGCGTCCAGACGTTGCTGGCACTAGGTAGACAGACGTTGTCGCTAACGGAATCATACAAGACAATGAATACTTTATACACCGAGCTTCATGCAAGTTGTTGTCCTAGTATAAAACATCGTAGGCAGACTTTTCATCAAGTCACGGCTGATATGTGTAGGTATATATGAGTAGGTACCTAACCTACCCACCTGGGTAGTATGTAATGCAAGCTTACTATCCGAGGGACAATAACGTTACCACAATGACATTTATTAGGGGCATTCAAGAGCTATCATTGGTATGTACCGCTTTGATGTATGCTAACGCTAGGGATGGATGCCCTTTGCGCTCTACCCTATTATAAGTACCCCCCACCTATGTAGCCTCCTATTCAACGTGTGCGGACTTTCACCGCATACACTTACACACATACGTAAATAGGTACATGTAAGTAGTAGGTACCTAGCAAATGCAGATTTTCTGACACTTGGTGGGCTTAGTTGGAGACTTGACATAGAGGTCCCACCCTCTTATTGTAGGTACTTAACTGTAGGTATGGGTACTTTATTGTAGTGTTGCTCTTAAAATGTCTAGGCAGCTAAGAGTTCGATCCGGTTGGTCCCAAGTGTAAAATAGGCACGATCTGAAGTTTGCAGTTTTGCCAAGGGCCGCAGATCTCTTTCCCCATCGAAGCAAGGGCCATCTTCGTAATCCCGAGAAGCTGGGGTGGTGACAGAACGATCCCGTGCGCCGCCCAAGCGCCTTGTGCTCGTAACGTGGTGTGCGTGGTGGTGTGCGTGGTGTGCAACTGGTCCAATTGCGTTACGGGGAGGACAAAAGAGAGACAACGACAGCGGAACAGCTGCAGGTTAATGAATCCGGATCCATGGCCACAAACCTGGTTCCCGGGTTCCGTCACGTTGATCTCGCTCACTTGTCACATCCCAACCCTGCCAACTTTTCGACCCGGTGCATACCATACATAGTAACCACCATCCCGTTGGGACGCATTCAAGCTACCGATAAATACAAAACGAGTAGACCGGTTATTTTCTAGCTTCTAGCTTGGTGTTCACATATGCCACCTATATATGCCACTTACATATGTCACTTACATTGGGGTTTCAATTATTCTTGCGATTTTTAGTATCAGTGCCACGAAGCAACACTTGGGTATCTTAGATATCTTAGGTACCTAGCCTAAGGTATCCCTAGGTTAGGTAGGTAGTTATGGTATAGACGAGAGACATGAGCGTTTGTCTAGTTGCTGTTCAGATTCGAAATTGCGACCTTAGTTCCGCCTGTTTCAAACGGGATCGAATGGATGGATCAAGACGGTTGTGGTTGTGATGATGAACCCTACTGTGGCATGTAAAGGCGTATCTACATCTATACATACCTTATGTAAAGTTACAAACTTAGCCTATGGGGATGCGCTGAACTTTACTTTGCTCGTTCGATAGCGGACGTGCGGGGGATATGAAGAAAAATTATCGGAAGAGGCAAGAACTCGGAAGTCCGGGCTGTG